AATGAGAGCGGCCTTGTTTTGTGACTTCTTTGTAAGTTTTGGGGGGGGGGGGGGGGGGAGGGAGAGGGGGGGGGGGGGGGGGGGGGGGGGGGGGGGGGGGGGGGGGGAAAGAAGTTTAATTGTTTGGCGATTGACGGACGACAAGAACGGGAGAGCAATAAAAAAAGAAAAGAGGGACTTATCAGCCTCGGATTTACGAACAGATCGAGATTATCGTTTAAAAAGGTATTCCAACTAATCGTAGTAAAAGTAACAGAAAAACGCAATAAAATTTTAATATTTCTCTTACCATTGGCTTGTCGTAGAACATGAACCCTTGTAAAGCTCTCATGGCTGCTGTAGCGGACTGAATCTCTTTGAAAACAATAAATGCTTGCCCGCGCATTTTTATTGTTTTTAGAGCTACTATATCTAGTATTTTGCCATATCTTTGAAATAAACAGTATAGCGAAAGTTTCAACTCTACACAAGTTTGCGAAATGCAAGTTAGAAATCTTGAACGCGCGTTTTCCTGCCAACATGGCCGTTTGAGTGTCAAACCCATCGCAGAATCCACAATATTGCAGGGTAAAGATGAAACCCTATTCAAATATAAATACCATTTTTTGGGATCTTTTCTGGTAAATTTCTACAGTATAAAGTCTGATTCGGTAAGAGAGACATTTGGGGGTGTATTCCTTATTAAACTCTAAAAGACAGTGCGAGAATTTGATAGTTGAAATATTTCAAACATGTGTGTGATACAGATACGCTACCGTTAAATTCATGTCCATTTATGGACTCGGGTACTTGAGCATTTTCCACACTTTTTTACTACGAAAACCACAATGGCCTTGAGAAGTCGTACATCGCTTTTCTTGCAATATAGAAACTCGTTTGCAAGATCAAGCGCTGGTATGCCTCTGGTGTCAACACCGGGATATAACGCTGAACGTGCAGGCCTGATAGAGAGTTCAGATCATGTCATAGAGCTTTCGGTATTACCGCCTAGGTGGTGAGTATGAGAGAAAAAAGTCGCAGATGTTTGGACTTTTTGAAAGATCAGAAGTTCTCGAGTCGAGTAACTAACTGGAACTTGTGGCCGATCTGTCGTCGACGTTACTTAGGGTGGACATTGTTGAGGAAGTTGACGAGGAAATTGAAGCCATAAAAGAAAGAAGTAAGTCTAAATTACAGGAATCGTGCAATGGCATGTGTCATTAACCGGATGCTGTGACTAACCGTAAGAGTTTACTAGTTGCAAAACTTCAAACGCTTCATAAGAAACATACTCTGCCCGGATTCGACGATCGAACAGGAGAGGAAGAAGAGATAGAACACTTGACGGGAGAAATCACAAAAGTAATTCAGATCCTTTTGTCTTTTTCGCTCTTGCCCACAATAAAAAACTCGATCATCTAATCACGTACTCTGTTGTAGCTTTTCCATGAATGTCAGCGTAAAATAAGACAAATAGCCGATGAGAGTCGATCATCAACGGCACAATCTCAGGAGGCCGTAATGAGTAAAAATATTCAAACATCGCTCGCTACAAAGTTACAAGAAATTTCATCCAGTTTTCGCAAACAGCAATCATCCTATATGAAAGGTAAGCGAGCTATGATGTATTTATGAACAACGAAAGGGTTTAGATTTCTCGCGCAACTGTCCAGTTTTTATGCCGCAGGGCTTGTCTTTCTTATACTAATGTATTCTTTGCCCGTTTGCAGAGTTGAAAGGCAGAGAAGCACGGAGCCCAGCCTTCTTCTCAACATCAAGTCGAGACTCATCGGAAGAGGATTTAGAACTGGTATGCACAAGATTGCAATGTTTTTATTTAGACCACGATGAAAGATTTATTAACAGTCAAGCCTAGATATCTTACTAATTGCAATGACCCTTTTTATGACTATGTTTAGGTATTTACTGCAGCACAACTTGCTGTTACGGAATCGTCAGACACAATGATTTCGCAGCGAGAGCGAGAAATTAATGAAATCGCAAAGTCAATATATGATCTTGCTGAAATATTTAAGGACCTGCAGACACTTGTAATAGACCAGGGTACGTTACTGGATCGTATTGATTATAACGTCGAGCAAATGAACGTTAATGTTATATCGGCAGCGAGAGAGCTTGATGAGGTAAGCTACGGGGACGCGGAGGTTGTGATGTAGACAGCTTGTTCGGAAATGGTACGTGCTCACCCAATTTGCTTGATATTTTACAGGGAGAAAAGTATCAGAAGAAGTCACGCAATCGTAAAATAATTCTTCTGTTGCTATTAATAATTTTTGGTCTGATTATCGTTCTTATTTTTAAACCTCGATAGTTATAATTGCTTACTTTACGATTATAGAATAATATATTTGTAAAATAATTTAAAAGTATAGAATAAGTTTTGCTTAAATATTATTTTTAGTGTACTTTAATAAATTCAAATAGATGTAAATGTGTGAGGAACCGCCGAAGGAGTCCAAATTGCACATTTACTGTTGAAGAGCAAAAAAAGAATTATTAGATTTTTCATTGGGAAACGTGATGTCTCCCAAGCGCAATCCCATAAAGCACGGCGCATAAATTCACAAAAAGTAACTAATTGTCTATTTAATTTATCACGCAATTAAAATTTGTATTTTATTTGTGCGATACTTTGTTTCTTGTCATCAAATGAGCTACAAGTAGACGTGGTTTGGTATTACGCGCGCGCAACGCATTAAGCAGAAATATTATTAGTCTTAGTGTACGAATTGATATTGATTTTTCCGATGAATACACGACGGGGGACGCACATTACTTCCATTCCAGCTACGGGATTTTTTCTTCATGACAATAGGTCGGGGGGGGGGGGGTTCGATATCCATATCAACAAATAATTTCGAAATAGAAACTTTTTATTTTTTCCTAATGAAAATGATTTATAAAAGCTAAAATGTGAAGTTGCGACTTATTCATGGATAGCATGGAGTTATTACGATTAGAAAAGATACGTGACTATCAAAACACGGCCAATAACTTACTACGATAAAGTCAATGTGATAATTAATAAGACAACGATGTCGCTACCAATTTTTTATCAATACAGTAGATTTATATGTTCATAGGAAAAAAACAACTGCGCGTTAATATACAATACTAATCTTTTATTTTCGCATGTAATTCGTCATCATTTTTGTCAACAAGTCTTATGAGTAAACACCTGTTTGTTTGTTTGAAGAATAGCGTAACATGACAATTGTAACACAATGGAAAGCATCTATGTATAATAATAATAGGTAAAACTGGCCACTAGCAAAAACCAAACTGCACTTTATATTAGTATCTAGTATTAAGATAAAGTAATCGTGTAGGATAGTGCTTAGTCATCATTATCATCACTGACCTATGATAACTATTTGCTTTCTATTTCATTGTGTGGTCCTGACTTCAGCAGATGGAGCATTATATTGACACAACCACCTCTTCTCCGTCAATACACTCAAAGTCATTGATTCTCCAGTTTATCCCCTCCTTCCTTCCAGGTCTCGTGGCCATTAGGATCCAAGCATCAGCAATATTTGCCATCTGTTTATTTCCCTTCTTTGGGTGTTTCTGATCTAGATCCTCCAGTTCAAAGAGGGAGGATATATTTCCAATATGGGCTGGCAAGCCTTCAAGCTAAATTGCAATCAAGTGATTCAAACAATTCCCAGCAAGAGGGAATGTTACAAAAGATTCTATCTTATTATTGTACAAGTTCAATCATGAACAAAGATACAATATGACAATACATGAGTGTTATTCACAGAACTGAAAATCACAATTAATTCACTTGAAAAAACTGTGTCTTCCCACAGATTTTTTCAATCCCAGCTTATGTATTATGCACAATATAAGCATGCCTGATGGGTACTAGATTATAATTATTAGTGCCTGGCACAGCAAGAGGTCACAAAGTAGATGGCATGTGGAATGTGTTTGGAATAACACCATGAACAAAATACAGCTCTTGATCATCTCTGAAGTGGAAAATACAATGACTGTTTT